TATATAAAAAATGAAAATGGCATTTAGTTATAAAAAAATATTGCACTACTATAAAAAAAAAACAGGGCATAATCATAGATGATTTAGATCTGGTTCTAATTATCTGCAGTGATCTGTTCCAGTACAGCCTTTTGTGACATTTAACATTTTTGACCCAGCAATCTTATTAATATGCTGCTTACAATAGCAATTTAATTTGTTAATTGGTTAGTATAATTAACTTAGCTGTAATGACTGGGGATAGTTTGATCTGCGTATAGGTGCTTCTTTATCCATTATGTATTGGTTAATTCAATTCAGCAGACTGAGATAAATTGACTCTGTGTCAATTCTTTTGTTTTTATTTCATTAAACAGGACATAACACATTATGAACAGCTGAAGGCTAGAGTCATACACCATGACCTGCTGGTGGACAACCTAATATATAAGGTACATTTACAGTATAGTTTATTTGATGGAAATGGTTTTGTATACACCATTTGTTCTATTGAATATTCTATAATAGGTTTTAACAAATAGAGAGTAACAGTTCTGAAAGACCCATCTCTTCCAAGATCAAGCTTACAGTATATGCTTAACTGGTAAACAGATACAATGGCATAAGGATTAAATTGTTTTTGTTTGCAATACTATTATGTATTTAAAAATTGTCCCATTTTTGTACCCCTAGTGCATCTGTTTTCTGATTAAAATGCCTGATGATTTTTCTTCTCAGGATGTGAAGCTTACTGCAAGTAATGACGATTACTACTTTGTGTTTGAGGACTATTTATATCAAGTGAGTTAATGCATGTCACTCTCTGTTACACATATACAACAGAACCTTTCAGTCAGCTGATTACAAATGAGAATTCTCACAAATGAGAGTCTTTGATAATCAAAGGAGGAGAACATTTCCCAAGTTAGTTTGAACTTGACACTGATAGAGGTCTTTGAACACATATATGGCTGTAGACTAAACTCGTGAGAATGTTACCCATGCAAAATCATGCTCTTTGACCTCATTTACCTAAAACCAGATAGATACAGATAGGACTGTTGTGTAGTCGCACAGATAGACCTCTCTAAATAGACTTCTCTATTCAAGGGGAATTCATGAGTCATATGCGCTTTATTAAATTTCCACTGCTTGATATTCACTTTCACCACAAAATCATAATCAAGTTTAATTTGCAGGTTCATTTTTCCTATAAAATAGCTAAACATGCTCAGATACACTGCCTTTAATATGAGGCCTTTTTAGGGAATAATGCACTCTTCCTAACAATCAGCTTGTAACACTCCAAAGAGAAAGGAAAACTTGAAATCGCATCATATGACCCCTTTAATAAATGGTTATGAAAAAATTAAGTTCAGCAATTATTCCTGAAGAGCAAGCAATTTGAGAGAGATTTTTAAAGTTGCCGTTTACTTGTGTTTCATTAGCTGGTATCCTCTGGACAACCATCAATATTCCTCTTTACTTCTGTCCTGAGACTGTTTGCGTCTGAGTTTTCTCTGAAATATTCAACAGAAATAGCCAGTTGTTTGGGGCTTCACAAGCACATTGTGTTGTCACTATGGAACAGTAATACGAGTTGCAGGTGTGAGGTGATAAAGGAGCTGGACTGCTTGTAAATATTGGTTTAGTGTGAACCCTTTGGGTAGTTCAAGAATTTCAGACGCTGTGTGGTCATGATATGATGATTAGAGAGGTGAATTGTATGAAAAGTAGGGTCAAAATTGTCATAATTACTATTCAGTCCAAAAACGTCTCTTTGTAGTGTATTAGCAAGAGCGAACAGATATTCAAACTCTAAAGGTTCTCTGTGATGACATTGCTTTATTATAATATAATATAATATAATATAATATAATATAATATAATATATAATGGAACTTCGCCGAGCACAATTTGCAACCACAATGCTAGGGTGTTGTGGTTGCTTTTTCTTTGCAAATACCAAAAATTATTCCAAAATATGAAAAAAAAAAAAAAAGACTTGGTTGGAGCTTTTAGGTCACTAGCACTGTATTTGGCCACTTATGGTTATAAAAGCTTTAGAAATGCATTAAAAACAAATGAAGAAAATGCAGTTACTGAAAAACCGCCATCATAGAAAGCAGATATAACTGATTTTAAAAAGATTGCTGTTTTTAAAATTAATTATATTTCCATTTTGAGGTAAATAATAAAAAAAGAAAGAACATATCTGCTTGACCTCTGCAGGCTAAAGCTCTAAAGTGGCTCTTCAAATGTAATTGGACCAGGAAATAAGCAATTTAGCAAAGATACAATGTGTGAGTAATGCTGGCAATTATAGAGTTATGCAGTGATGACGGATTTTTGTAGGCCAACCCGGAAGTTAGTTTCACTCTGATTTTCTTACCAAAACCTAATTGTTTTTTTTTTCTTCCATAAATGGCTATAAACAACTATACTATAGTCACTAGCATTAAGCTTATGACAACTTTTTCAGTGTTTATTTAAAACGATTTTCCCTACAAGTTTTAGAATAGTTTGCAAGTGTGATAAACACACTGAGGCTGTAAAAGCAGACTAGTGAGTAGATGATTTTACTTGTTCGGTGTGATGTTTAATGTTCCCGATAACATTTGTAGTCCTGTTAAGCCACTTGCTAGCAAGCTTTTACTGGTCTTGCTGGCACAAGTTAGCAGATTAATAAAAGCTTTTACTGATCTAATTATGTCATATAATAAAACATGAAAATTCAGTTTGTGATAACATAACAGCAATTTAACCAAAAACCAATTCAAAAACCCCATTGTCTTCAGGACGATAGAACAGGAAATGCTAAAATGCTAACTCAATTCCTGTTTTTGGCCTTCAAAAATCATCCCTGCATCACTCTCTTTTTCCATTGTTTTTCTCCACAGGTCTTGCTGTGTTTTTCTCGAGACACTGCAGTCCTGGAGCATTTCAACTACAACTGCGCTACACCGCCTAAATCTTGCATCCAAAGTAATGTCTTTTGAATATTTAGCTTTGTTGATATAATATCTTCCTTAGCTTCTTTTCAGTCTATAAAATGTCTTTTTCTCAGGCAAGTCTGGCTCAGAGCAGTGTGCTGTGGTTTACCCCCCGAATGGTGAGAAAGAAGCTTTTACAAGCACAGTATTTGCATCACAGCATGTCCCAGCATGCACCTTATAGTCTTCATTTGTTGAATTCTCTGAAATGTGTCAGAAACCAGGGCCAGTGCATTTAATAGATGATTCATTAGTTTTCAGTTTTCCAAAATAATTTTGTAATAACAGTAATTGTTGACCTATCTGTCCCATAGGTGTCATTCCATTTCATGGATTCTCAATGTATGGTGAGTATGAAGAATAAAGCACATAACCTCAAAAAGCAAAATCTATTTTGTAAACAATCATCTATCTGTATCCTGTGCTGCAGTTGCACCACTGTGTTTCTTATATAATGAGCCTTCGAAGCTGTACAGCGTATTTAGAGAGATGTATATTCGCTACTTCTTCAGACTACACTCTATCTCCTCACATCCATCTGTGAGTATCTTGTGTGTGCATGTGTGACGTTGATGTAACATGATTGATTGCCTTTGTGTCAGTTTACTTAGGATGATGGCTGTTTCTGAGCTCACCAAACCTGTGTGTGTATGTGTGTGTGTTAGGGTATAGTGTCTTTGTGCTTGCAGTTTGAGAGATTACTGCAGACTCATCTACCCCAGCTTTTCTACCATCTACGAGAGATTGGAGCCCAGCCGTGAGTTCACATAGCAGATTACTCAATAAATTAATTTTTATAGCGTACCTTGTATGATACAGTATATAAAAAAATATGAAAATTGGTCTTTATTCTTGTTTATTGGTTCTTTGTCATTTATTAGGGGCCAAGCACAGAATCGTTTAGTTTCCTAGACGGTTTGTGCAATTGTATCTGTTAGTCTTCTTCGTCTTTGTCTTTGTCTTCTTCTTCTTCTTCCACTCTGGAAGTCTATGGAAGCCCATAGAATTGCTTGCGTGAAGGTTATGAAATTTGGCACACAGATAGAGGACAGTCGCAATATTAACCATAGCAAATTTTAAGTCTCTATCTCAGACTCTCTAGCGCCACCAATAGGCCAAATTTGCACCCATATTTTTGCTAGTAACTTTTAAATTGTAAGGTCTAGAAGCAAAAATATTTTTGCCTTGGCTCATGGTGAGTCAAATGCATACCAAAATGTAAATTTCTACTTGGCAAAAAGTTATCAAAAGATTTCCAATGGAGTAAACCATTCTCGTAAAGCGTGTTAATGAATTTGATGAAATTCACACAAAAATGGACATGAGGCTATATCTTTAGTGGATTCTTACCAAATTCTGTACGTGTTATAACAAGCATGACTTGAGGGCACAGGAAATAAAGCTTTGGCATAGCGCCACCTACTGGTCAAAAAGATATAAACAATTGCCATTTTTGTTTATAATTTCTGAACAGTTTAATCAATCATAAGACTGATATCATTCGATTTGGAGCAGCATACCAAATCAGATGATACCCAATTTTCCTATGTCAGCCATTTTGAACGTGGACCATTTCAAATTTTGTAGTAAAATTCTGTATTTTACAAACGCTTTAGCTTATTGTTATGACTCTTATGAATAATATAGAACCACTTGGGGGTAAAGTTATGAAACTGGGCACACAGATAGAGGACAGTCTCAACATTAACAACAGAAAATTTGGAGTCTAACTCAAACTCTCTGGCGCCACCAATAGACCAAATTTGCGCTCATGTTTCTGCTAATAACTTTTGAACTGTAAAAGACCATATTCAGAGCAATCTGGCAAAAAGTTATCAAAAGCTTTTTGATATATCAAACCATTTTCGTAAAGCGACTTGACGAATTTTAAAAAGTTTGTGCAAAAATGGACACAAGGCTATATCTATGCAACGCATTAGTGGATTCTGATTAAACATGGTATGGGTTATAACAAGCCTGACCTGAGGGCACATAAGTAGTTTCAGCACTACTCAAAAAAGTAGTGAAAAAAATGTACGTTTCTGTTTATAACTTCTGACCACTTTGGCCAAAAATCATAAGATTGGTCTCAGCATTTGGAACGGCATACCGAATTGGACGATACCTAATTTTTCTGTGTCAGCCTTTTTTAGTGTCGGCCATTTTAAGTTCTGTAGCAAAATGCTGTATCAGCAAATGTCTTCAAAGCCATAGACACTCTGCACGATTTTCGGCTGTCCCAGACATTGAAACAATCGTGGCGATTTCTGCAGATCGTGGCTCATAATTAGTGGTCCTGTGTCGTACAGTGAGAGAGGTTCAAAGACTGCAGTTGTCACGGTCTTGTGACCAAAGACACAGCATGATCATCGCACAGTGTGTTTGCTGGTATGATCCACGTTTACTGACCAACCAATAAAAATGCGACATGAAATCAACTCGACATGGCGCTAAAACAAAACTGCTTACCTAAAACTCTTATCCCTTCCTCTTTCGCCGCTTCCACTTTTTTTCAGCACACATAAAAACAACTGCTAAAGTGTGATTTATCATGCTCTTTTTGTTTACCTCTAGCGCATGCTGATACAGTTTTATTCTTCTATAGTAACGTGCATAGTAGCCTACGAGTCAATAGGTGTAATCATCGTACAGTCTACACACATGTCGTAGCCAGGTTTATTAGATCCATGTCACACAGTGTAGCATGCAATGATCTTATAGGATTGCTAAAATCGTGCAGTGTGTTTCGGGCTTAACAGGGGTCTCCAACTCTGCTCCTGGAGAGCTACCATACTGCAGATTTCAGCTTCAATCCTAATCAAACACACCTCAACCAGCTAATCAAGGTTTTCAGGGCTACTTAATTATAGACAGGTGTGTTGAAGCAAGGTTGGAACTTAAAGGAACACTCCACTATTTTTGAAAATAGGCTCATTTTCCAACTCCCCTAGAGTTAAACAGTTGAGTTTTACCGTTTTCGAATCCATTCAGCCGATCTCCGGGTCTGGCGGTAACACTTTTAGCTGTAGCTTAGCATAGATCATTGAATCTGATTAGGCCGTTAGCATCTTGCTCAAAAATGACCAAATAGTTTCTATATTTTTCCTATTTAAGACTTGACTCTTCTGTAGTTACATCGTGTACTAAGACCGACGGAAAATGAAAAGTTGCGATTTTCTAGGCCAATATGGCTAGGAACTATACTCTCATTCCGGCGTAATAATCAAGGAACTTTGCTGCCGTACCATGGGTCGCAACATGAAAATAATCGCAACTTTTCATTTTCCGTCGGTCTTAGTACACTATGTAACTACAGAAGAGTCAAGTTTTAAATAGGAAAAATATAGAAACTCTTTGGTCATTTTTGAGCGAGATGCTAACGGTCTAATCAGATTCAATGATCTATGCTAAGCTAAAATTCTTAGAAATGTGGGTGTTTCCTCTTAAAATTAAAGAAAAGATCCTAGTAAAGAAAAAAGTAATTCAGAAAGCATCTTAACCCTTAAAAGAGGTCTTAAGGTCCAAAATTGTTAGGAGTACGGACGAGGACTTCTAAGAGGCTTAAGAGTTTCTTTAGCAGTGGAGAAAAGGGACAAAACATGAAGAGGGAGAAGAAATGTGTTGCACACAATGCATGACAGTGAGTTAACAAGACGCTACACATTAGATGGTGCAGGGATCATGTTTGTGACCGATCTTATTAGAGACACGCTAACATCTCCGACACCGCGCAGAAATGCCATAGTGCCAGAAATGGAAGTAAATCATTACATTACCTACTTCAATATATTTGGCAACTGGAAAAATACAACTATGCAGCAGTGATTGGGTCTGTCACAACCTTCTATAAGCAAAGTTATCACACAAACAATTAGAGCCCGGCCGATATATAGTTTTGCCGATATGAGCAGATATATCGTATTGGTGAATATGCCGCCGATATGAACTTTTTTTTTACAGAACATATAACGATTAAATGCTTCTGACTTGGTGTAATTACTTAGTTTGTCCAGCAGAGCGCACTCCATTGTTTGCTACTGGCCACCCAGGTCAGTGTAGTGTAGAGATGCGCGGATGAGCTCAAACTTCACCCGGGTCCGCTGCTTCAAATTATCCGCCCGCCACCCACCCGCACCTATATTTGATCGTCACATTACAATGATTCTAATTCATTGGCCCTATGGGGCCCTATGATTTCCGCGATGCAGAACACATGGACGGAATCGCGGAATCCTGTCATAAAAACGGAATTTACTGTATAACGCGGAATTTCCTTATTTTTGATGAATAAATAAAAAACAGGTCCCCCTGTTGGTTTGGCAGTAGCTTGCTTGCCCTACACAGTTACCTTGTTTAATTTCTTAATTCAAGTTATATATATTTTGTTCTATTTGTGTTATTTATAATAAGTGAAGTGAAGTTTACTGCTAAGTACACTGATGTCAGACTCATTTTGAATAATAAAGTTTATTTATATATTCTGTTTATGTAGGCTATATACTGTATCCTACACATAAAGAATATCGGCTGATATATCGATATCGGTCTTTTTTTTAAAATCAGCATTGGCCCCCAAAAAACCCATATCGGTCGGGATCTACAAACAATTACAGCACTTTCAGAACCTTATTGTGTCGCTGTTCATTTCCTATAAAATGTTAAGTATGACAGCATGGTAAATAAAAAATAAAGAATACATATACATATATAATGTGTGTGTGTGTGTGTGTGTGTGTGTGAGAGAGAGAGTACGGTAAAACAGGAAAAATTACGCCTGTAATTTCAAAGTGAAGGCTTCTGATAGACCCTACTCTTAAAAGCACTTTTTTATTTCCTTCTTAAACAACCAACCAATCACATTCTTAAAAAGACTGTGTCATAGCTAGCAAACGGGGTCAACCCCGCCTCCTCACTAAGATAAAAGTTTTTGTCTTTTCCTCGCTCAGAGTTGCTCTCAGATTGGTCCTGAATCACTTTTAAGCTAAGACTCCTAGTTAGAGGTTTTTAAGATAAATTAGGAGCTCTCTGAGAGGATTCTTAGAATCCTTAAGAATACGGGCCCTGTCTTTACTGAGTAATTAAAGACAGCTCCTTAGCTCCTTTTATTTTACCTCTGTTATGCTTAATTGCCCCTTAATTGGGCCCCTTAATTGCTGCTGGTAGCTATATTTAAATAGTAATGTTGCTCCTAGACATACTGTAGTAGTAGTAGCATCTATGTAATCTTGTATCTTTAGATTAATAACAAAATAATGTATTTAATAAAATTCTTATATTTATGGCAAGGATAATATTCTAAACCCCCAACCTTAACCATTAAGGATCTGTGCAAAACTTTCCAAAGTTGATGATTTCAACTTGCTGAATAATAAGATGGATTTACAATGAAAGAGAGACCAAAGCAATATTAAGCGACCAACAGAACCACCACAAGAGGCTAAGAACCACCCAGAACACATTATAATAGCAACTGCATAGGAACATGATTAAAACCACCTAGAGCATCAACCACACAGCAATGGGTTAAAAACCTCTCAAAACCTCTTAGCAGCTGAAAAGCATCATGCTAAATCACCTTAGTAACTTAGTAACCTAACCTAATAGCGACAGGCTAAACACCACCAAGGAGCATCTTAGCAAATTCATAGCAATGTGCTAAAAACACTGTAATCTTAGCAACTATATAGCAATGGTCTAAAAACCAACCAAAGGCCTAATTTATTATACATACTAATATAAAGCTTATGGTACTTTAGTTTCCTGCTGAAAAAATTATACTTTTAAATATAATTTATTATTATTCTCAAGTGTGAATGTTCATTAATGTCTCATTTATGATACATACTCACATGAAGCTTATGTTGCTTTAGTTTCCAGTTGAAATTTTGAAGTCACTTCAGTGACAGTTACATTGTAACTGTGCAGCTCCATCTAGTGGATGAATTATGCACACACAAGTCTCACACCTCAACATTTGTGAAAGCAAATAACAGAAATTTTGAATAAGGGTTTAGATCTATACTGTGTGTATATTTTGGGGAGTGTTTCTCAGTGTGTGTGTGTGTGTGTGTATCTTCCTTAGGTTGCGTATTGCCTTTAAGTGGATAGTCCGGGCCTTCTCAGGATACCTGTCCACTGACCAGCTCCTATTGTTATGGGACCGTATCCTAGGATATGATTCCTTAGAGATAGTAGCAGGTAGAACGATATTTTCTAATGTCTGACCTTTTACCAACTATTATGAACATGAAACATATCATTTTACTGTCACTTCACTGTTTCAAATCACATATTGAATGCAGCCAGAGTTTGATGTCAGGTACTTATTGGATAAATAGTTAATCACTGTGTTTAGGAGGTGTTAAACTGTTTTTAATGTACCTTCATTTTGAAAATGTGACCTCTATGTTAGGGCACTCTTAAATAAGAAGGGTCAGTCAGTTATATGGCATACACCCAATTTCCTGGATGATGACTGTTTGTCTGTCCCTCTTTTTCAGTCCTGGCCACTGCTGTCTTTGTCTTCCGAGCCGAAAACCTAATGGAAGTGACATCACTGGCATCAGCTGAGGTTGTTACTTGTGTGTGTTAAGCAATACAAAAATAGTGTCTTCACTCACAGCCAACACTAGTAACCCAGTCCACCCAAGGCACATGTTTCAAAATTGCTGGGATAACCACTTTTTAAAAGTGGACCAAGTCCCCCACACCCCAGCTCTAAAATGTTTTGACGATGTGATGTCAAATGTGATGGGAATTTTAGCATGACAGTTAACTGTCGACACTATATGTGTGTGTGTATCCTTCTGTGCCTTTGTATGTGTAACAGTTTATAACTCATTACTTAAAAGAATATCTGGGTTTAGTACAAGTTAAGGCCAATAAGAAGCATTTGTGGCATGATGTTGATTACTACAAAATAGTTTCCAATTGTCCTTAGTTTTTTTTCTTTATAAACACAAATATCAATTTGTTCCATTGAGGCACTTACAATGGAAGTAAATAGGGACACAATGTAAACAATAAGAGTGTTAACACTGATTTTAGTTAGGAATAAATTGCTTACTAACCTTTCTGTGTGAAGTTACATCCAATTTTACATCTTTGATTGGGTGAAGATTCCCCTTCACTGTCATTGGAAAAAGCCTGTATACAGTAACCAAGATCATTGTTTTAAGGAAAACAGGAGACAACTCTAAATTATTTAATATCATTCTACAAATTCTGATTTAGCTTAGCTTGTACTGAACCCATAAAATGTCTTGCCTTGAAATCAGATGCACTTAGTGTATATGTTGATAAAAAATATTTTTTTTTACCTAACATTTTTATATGCAAAAGCCCATATTAAACTTAATTTCTACATGTTTAACTTTTATGAAAGCATCCTATGCTAGCTAAAAGGTCTGCACTGTCGGATGCTGTGGCATGCAACTGCTTGATTGACAGCTGTAGTAAAAGTGCATCTGACCTGCTTTCATTAATTCTGGCTGTAACCCGCAGTGACGCACGGCCTGGGCCCCAAGACACTGTGAAGATGCTGCTGGACAGTATCTGCTTGCTTATGTACCACCTGGTCCCTACAGGAGAAAGTATCATAACACATTGTATTTTTAGCGCCCAGGCCTGGTCATGAAACATTAGAGGAGACGTGCTAACCTGATAGGGGCCTCTAAATTTATTTGCTTCCAATCCCCTAAGGACCGAAGCTTGAGAACATTTGATTCCCTCTGAAGGCCCCCGCCCAAACGGCTCCTGTGAGGCGGATGCACTCTTAGCACCTTCCAAGCTCTTGAGTCACATCAGTGCGGGCCAGCAGACACCATTTGGTGAAACTGGGTTGACGGTTATGCGTCTTTGTAGTTCGGCTAAAGGTGTGGTCACATCAGCAAATTTTCTCATGCATAAAAAAAGGTCATTATGCATTGTCAATAACATTGTCAGTTTCAAACTGAGTTTGTTGGTGAGTGAGGCAAATTCGTATGACCAACTTGAACATCTCAGAAATCTGCATGCTGAACTTGCACGAAACATGACCGCACCTTAAGTGCCTGGTGTTTTTATTGCCAGGCAATCGGAATGGATGCCTCTGTTGTGAATATTTACCATAATGGACAACACTAGCTTAAGTCTACAGCCGCGCTTGTATATTACATGGCCAGAAAGCATTTTATATTACATGCATTTTCAATTTTTTTCTTCTTGCAGGCTGTTCTTGCAGACCTCTCAACCCTGAAGGTGATGCCCTTGCTGCAGATCTTCCTCTTCGCCACCTCCGTCTGAGAAGCTGGCGGTGTGTTTGTCTGTTTTGGTGGCTGGATGTTCCAGTCCATTTTCATTTGATGTTGACTTTAAAGGGATAGTTTACCCAAAAATGAAAATGTACTCACCCTCATGTCATTCCAATGACATTTGTATAACATTAGTATGTCTCTCTGTCTTTGGAACATAAAAGAAAATGATTGAAGAATATTGGTGATCTCATAGTTTTGGTTACCATTGACATGCATTAGGAGATACCAATGTATCTTGACAATGTAAAGCGCTTTGAGTGCCTAGAAAAGCGCTATATAAATGTAATGAATTATTATTTTTATTATTATTATTTAATTTTATGGACTTACCGTAAATCTTTTCTCAAAAAATTGTCTTGTATGTTCCACAGAAGAAGGAAAGTCATACAGGTTTGGAACAACCTGTGGGTGAGTAAAAAAAAATGTTGTGTGAAGTGTTCTTATAAGTAGCAATATGGCTGATCTGCGACTAACAGATTCCTCTTACTTAGCAACCCCTAACTTCTTGCACCATTCTGGTACTGCATGTAACTGCCTCTCAAGATTCAGTGAATTCCAAATGGATCAACTGAAGTCCCTCATAGCTTTTTCCTTTTTCACAGAGAAATGCATTCGATTACAGGAGTACAATGAATTGCAGACGCCCCGCTTCAGGTTGGGTTGACTATAAGATTTCCAGGGAATTGTTTGAACTGCAATAGTGACACAAGGGAAAAAGACTAGACATGGAACAGAATAATTTATTATTTATATGCTGTCATTTGATTTTTATAATCTTAAACATCCTATATACATACTGTATATACACGCATATATACACATATATGAATATATGTATTGATAAGCCATTACATCATGGCCACCTAACCTGTAGGACCTCCTTTAGCCCACAAAACAGTGGCCACATGGCGAGGCCTTAGGTCTCCTGGGGTATCTGGTACCATAATGTCAACAGCAAGTCCTCCAGTTCCTGTACATTGCGGGATGGTGGTGATGTAGCGTGAACCCGCTTTTCCAAGTCGAACCACAGATGTTTGACTGGGTGAATTTGGAGGCCAAGGCATTAACAGAAATTCACCATCATGTTGTTTGAACTACTCCTTGTGGCATGCCGCATTATCCTGTTGATAATGACCATCACCGGCAGGTTGCCATGAATGGGTGCGCTTGGTTCGCATCAATGTTCAGATACCTGACAGTACAGTGTCAGGAATTGTGCTGTTGGGATAATAGGGCCTAACGTGGCCCAAGAAAACATTGCCCACAGCATAACACCACCATCGCCAGCCTGTATCCACCAAACAGTGCATCCAGGTGCCATAGCCACTGATGGTAATCGACGTATCAAGCCTTGGCCGTCGATGCGATGCACCAGGAATCTTGATTCATCAGACCAGGCCACTTTCTTCCATTATGCCCAATTCATGCTCTGTTGGCCATTGTGCAGTTAGCATGAGGACCCGGCTGGGTCATGGGCTGTTCAGGCCCGCAAGCAGAAGGCTGCGATGAACTGTGTGCTGTGACACATTGCCCTGGTCACCTCTGTTGTAGCTGCTGGTGATTTGTCGGACTGTGGCCCTGTGGTCGCTGTGAACAATGCACAACTGTTTCCGCTTGCCTCTGGCATCAGTGAGTTGCGGACGACTGTTCACTATTTGGCCATTTGTGCACCACTTTTGATACAACTGCACGTGAACAACCCACAAGGTTTCCAAGATTGATAGCTGGTCCTCAGGTGGTATATATACTGTTTTGTTAACTGCACCTGCAGAACCATATGGTTATCAGTGCTCATTGCTCTAGGCTGAGGGTGGTCATAATGTAGTGGCTCATCGGTGTATATATATACAGTATATATACAGTATATATATATATATATGGAATGTTATGACTATGTTGATGCCATATTATCACTGCAAACCTAATAGAATACTGTATGTAACTCAGTGTTGTTATTGTTAACTAAAACTATTGGAAGTCATTTTCGTTAATTAAATAAAGCTGAAATAAAATAAAAAATATAAGATGAAAAACCCAAATTCAAATGAAAATTAGAACTGTTGCCTTTGCAACTAACTAAAATGAAGTGCTAGAACGGAAATCAATAAATAGAAATAAAAATAAAAATGACAAAATCACATAAATTTAGTAAATCTTAAAATTAAAATGAAATCTGAAATATATAATAAAATTACAAAATAAATAAATACATGAATATAATAGAATATAAATAATATTAATATAACACTTGTTACTCTTATATAATATAATGCCTTAGAATTGCATATCAGCCACAAACCTAAATACCAGGACAGTTTAAAAAAAAAATGTCTTTCATGATAATGAGGTTCATTTTATATGTTAATGGTAGAGTTTCTAATAGAAACAACATTTGTAGTTGCAGTGTAAGTTTTAAAGATTCCCAGATAAGTCCTTGTAAGGATCTTAGGCATAAGTTTTAAAATGACAATAGATGCCACCTACTTCAGTTAGGATACTCTGGTTAGCCCTTTGGCTTAGTGCCAGTGAATTTGGATGAGAACACTTATCAAACTTGAACATAAGTGCAATTTCCATGGATAACAGAAGCAGCACTGATGGAGATGTGTATTTGCCTTTCATATTTGCATAATGGCTGTTTTGTTTGACTATTAATATACTCAGATCTCATTACACTCCCTGAGATCACCAAAAATGTTATTGATGGATTTGAAAGGGAAGTGCAGGTAATGCTGAAGTCATACACCAAATGTATTGTGTTCTTTTGTCTGTATCATCTGTTTGTTCTGAGAATGGGGGCACTTTACACATCCCTGCATGTGCAATAATGTGACATACATTTTATGCAAATTGCAAATAATCAATGTTTATTATCTTTTGATTGCTAAAATATTTTTTTTACACTAACATCACTTGTTTATAGGTTACTTCTGTTCTTGACAGTAGCTATTATTTATTTAGAAGCAGTTTTTGGATGCAGAAATGCATGTGAAAAATTGCCTAAATTACATTTGAAACTGTTAATTCATTATTCATTCAATAAAAGCTGTACATTCTAAACATAATTTTATGTTGTTAAGTGCAACTGTTACATTGCCCTACATTTATGACTACATTTTTTGTGGTGCTCTTCAGTCACTTTTGACCGAAGAATTTTCTGTTTTGAATTTTTAAAAATCACAGCTTCATCAGAATGCTACAAAACTTGGTGACTTTTATGGCATTTGGAATGTGAACACACAAAAAAATTGAGGGCATGATTCGAGCAGACTTAAGTGGTCATAAAAAAAATAGTCACACTTGTGGTCTTCGGTCAAAAATGACCGACCATATGAAATGAATGGGAAATAGACAAAAACACAAAAATTCTGAGAATTTTTGTGTGTACAATCTACAAATCTGACACAATGCAGAAAAAAAGTACACAGCAATGAAAGGGTGAAACTATAACACATCAAGAGTGCAAAACCACACACACACACATGCGTACACACACGTTTATGCACACACACACCTATGAACTGGTGTGACTGTAACATAGCAAATATGAAGAGTTCAGATGCAAAAGCCTCTAAGTGCCATCTGAAATTTTCATCTAAAATGAGCATTTTTATCGGACTCCTATATTCATGTTCATTTATTTCACTTTAATGGCATAGAAAAGGACCTATACATTGCCAGTAAAGTAAAATTACTGAACCTAAACATAGGAGCCTGATAAAAATCCTAATTTTAGAAGAAAATTTCAAATGGCAGTTAGAGGCTTTTGCGTCTGAACTCTTCATATGTAAAATAAAAACAATAATTCAACTACAATGCAGTAAAAAAGTGGACAGCAAGGAAGGGGTTACACTCTAAAACATCAAGAGTGCAAAACAGACACACTCACTCAAACACACACTTACTTACACACACACTCACAGACACACACATACAGAATTGTACTCAAATGAATTGGTATGGCTATAACCATATAGCCAAAACAAGTCAGAAAACTGAAGAGGTTGAAATCAGATCAAACCCAGAAGGATTAAGATCTGATAAAACATTTCTGCTCATTTTTGTTACATTATTATAGAAACTTAATAAAAATAAGTATTTATGTCTAAAAACAATTAGAGAATGTATAGGCCTTTTATATAGAGCTATATATATGAATCTATGGGCTAAACCATGGAATTGCAGATGCTTTTCTTATTTTACTCCTACCAGATGGCACTAATCTGGCTTCAAAAATTAGATTTTAAAGGCATTGACTCTATTTTAACATGAAATACTGCATTCAATGAAAAGTAATATAATTTAATTATTTTCAATGGGCAGAACCCAATGGGTTCATCATAATTATTGCATAAATATTAATTAGTGCCATGAAATTATCTCAAAATACAAAATAAAAAAGAAAAAATATTATTGAACAAAAATATATTACATTGATTTTACTGGGGAGAAAAAAAGTTACATTTCAGGTGTCCGGTCACTTTTGACCATGAAGATCACAAGTGTGACTCCCAAATGAGGAGCACCAGAGGGTTTAAACTACCATAAATATTTATTTCATTAAATTTAATTAAATAAAAGCTGTACAGTCTTAACAGTAATTTCACATTGTTATGTGCAAATTGTTACATTACATTAATATATACATTAATAACAGAATTTTACATGATTCTGTGTAATTGGATTTTAAATTTGTACAAAAATGTATGTGTAAAAGTGCATTTTTGTAAGATTTTAAATTTGTTTGTAGTACAGACAAACATATAAGATATAAAGATATAACTTGTCGAGTTCTTGAAGCATTAGTTCATCATGATTTTATTTATTTATTTATTTGATGGAATGGTTTGTTTCTTTACAATGGTAATAATATGATATACTGTAACAAGGTTATCACTCCAGTGAGCATTTTCTTTCGTTTTTTTTTTTGTTTAAAGTGCCCCTATTATGGATAATGAAAGGTTCATATTTTGGTTTTGGGAGTCCCCAACAACAGGTTGACATGCATGCAAGGTCAAAAAACACTTTAATTGTCTTATAATATGCATTTATTTTTACCTTACTTGCTCAACGACTCCTAAAGGATTCGCTCAACGATTCATTTTTCAAACCCCTCCTTTGCGTGACGCTAATCTGCGGTGATTGGTCCGATTGGTCCCATGTTCCGTTCATCATGCCTGTAATGCCTGATAAAGCAGCGTTTGTGAGCGCAGTGCTGCTTTGTGTACAGTTACCGGGGAAACCGCTATTTTACCGCTCCAAAAGCAGCACCTAGTGGCAAAGAATGAATTAGCATTTTCATTCAGACCAACGGGAAAAGACCAACAAGTGGGCGGGCAATATGCTTGGGATTCGTTTTAAAAACGACTCGTTTCAATGATTCAGAGTCGACTCTTTATTTTGAGAGACAATAACTTTATACACGGTGCACTTTCAGATTTAAAACTGTGCGGGATGTTTTCATTCATTTCGAGCTGTGTTACACACTGCATGAAAGGTAATTTTCAAAAATCCATAATATGGGCACTTTAAATAAATTAAACTACTAAAATATAAAACAATATACCAAAAGAGAAAGAAGAAATATAAAATGCTATTGTTTAGATATTGTTTTCATCTAAATTTGAAGTTGTAAACAGTGGTATTGACAAGCCAAATTCAAATAAAATAAAATACAAAATGAAAAGAAAGTTGTATAGTGCATTCAGTCCCATGAATTTCAGCATCATTCATGACCCTACAAGTTGACCCCAGCTTATAGCAAACTCCAGCGACTCTCTGACATCTGCTCTGTCCGTCTATCTGCCTGCCCCTCTCATTCCCTCTGTGCCTCATATCAAATTATGCCACTTGTCTGTTTTCTGCCCTGCTTTTCGCTCCCCATTGCCTCACACTGGTCTCTCGGTACATCTGCCACCTGTTTACACAGCTTCCCACGCCCTGTCCCGTTATTACTGGACTTTCAGTCACCATGGGAGCAGCGCACCCCTAGCGGTCCCTCACTGTACCATAGCACTGCTCCTCGCTGAAGCATTTCTTTTAGACAGGCACTATCACATTTCCTCTGCCTCTCTTGGGCACCTTTATATATTTAGACCTCTGTAATAACTGCCCTCCTGTCCTGCTGATACAGCTGAAACCTTTATGCAGGAAGTTAAGGGAGCTTGCTTTGAGAGAATTAGGCCTACCTATTTATTATGAATAATAATTGCACTCTAACGTAACAAATTTCATCAATATAAACATTTATGTCAAATAATATAATATTGATACATTAGTACAATTATATGATATGAAAGCATTTTACTTTTTGCATGCACAATGTGTGATATTTAAAGCTGCACTCATAAAGCTTTTGTTAGTGTTAAGCTGATTCTTATTAGTTCAAATAGTATCAATGGTTTTGCACTTTATACTGACACCTATTGGCCTGGATGCAATAAGTGAGTGTACTTATATTAGTGCCTTTACATCAAATCTCTTTTTCTGCATGTTATTTTCTGTCTGCTATAACACATTTAATTAACATTCTTCAATTAAATCACTGCAATTTCCCCAACTGCATTGTTGGAGGTTTGTGCTTTTACTTGACAGGGTTATCTCGGTTTGTTTAATCATAGCGGATACTGCTTGTTTGGACATTAATTTTTTTTTATTTGTACTGAATTGGTTTAGACAAGTCAATCGCACACATGCTGGTCCATCGCTATGGACTACGATATGGACTTTGGGTCTTATGGAATTTGGGGTTAGTATGGTTTTTTTTTTCTTGCTGTTGTTGAAAAAATTGATACTTTTATGCAAAAAAAAAAAATGATCCCAGAGATTTAAAATGTTAAAAAATCATATTTCTGAAGGATCATGTGACACTGAAGACTAGAGTAATGGCTGCTGAAAATTAAACCATCACATGAATTACATTTTTAACAAATATAAATTTAAAAAAATTGTAATAATAATAATAATTTACAATATTATCCTACTGTTAAACGGTATCAAATAAATGCAGCCTTATTGAGCATAAGAGACAACAAAATATTTTAAAAAATATTACTGACCCCCAGACTTTTGTAGTGTATGTTTGCTTTGCTTGTTATAGGGAAGGCTTATATGTCTTGAGTCTAAATCCCATGCGATATGTACATCATTTTAATCATTAAGCAACAAACAAACAAACAAACAAACACACAAACAAACAACTTCACTTTTAATACTAAATTGTATGCACATCATTTTATGTTAAAAAAAAAAAAAAAATCCTTTCATATTCCAGATGAACCACAAATCAAAACAACACCTATTATCTGCCTGCCTGCTTTGAACCGCGGTCTGCCTTTTCAAAGCTCACGTCTCTCTCTCGCGCTGTCAGCCAATTGGATTCTGCCATGTTGGGACCGTTCAACCAATCGCAGCCCACAGCGAGGAGGAAAACTTGGATGATTCTCTGGGTGTAAATTGTTGTGTGTCGCGATGGGAGAAATAAAAGTGGGAAGTGATGAACAATAGAGCTGGCGGTTTCCGGGAGGCGCCAGCATTCCCGAGCAACTTTCGCGCTCTTGTTGTGCATACCGATAGTCCGCCAAGCACACAGCCCATCCAGCTCACACCAGCAGCTGCTTTTGTGTCAAATGAGTGTTTCAGGTGAGATCACCGAAGAGGGAGAATCAAACTGCCGGCGTCCTGTTGTCAAATTTTTTGCATACGGACTTCCGCCCCCTGAATTTAGTTTCTGCATCAACTAGCAAAGGCGGTGGGCAGACCTGAGCCCTCAAGTCAGGCGCAGTCATGCGGACTTGACATTTAAACTCGGTTAATATTTGGACATGAACGGCACACGCGTGTATCTCGGATGATCCCGGTGGATTTGGATTAAACGGCGCACTGGGATCTGACACATTCATTCTCAGAGGCGTTTATTATGCTGGATTTTTTGCCGGATCTTGTGGATGTACCGTGACTATTTGCTGTCACTTCCAGTGTAGAACTGGAATATTGCATTGGACTCGTTGGGGTGTTTTGCAGCAGGAAAATGCGTGTTTTCATCTCCTCTCAAACAGGGGGATTCCTCGTCAGTTAGCACTTGTCTGTTTGGATCCTAAAGTAGGATACAGCCAGATCCTCCAACCCAGTCGAGGATCTGATGTCTGTATGCTCTGATGTCTATTTCAATGTGTCATATTAGAAGAGTTGACCATCTCTTTTGGATGGAGTTTTACCTCGCGATTTTCTTTTGACGTCTCGGACAGCGTGGATGCATTTTTAGATCGTTTTTAGCTTGGATTATTATTATTTTTTGCCTGCGGTTTTACAGGTTGGATCTTCTCGTTTATTTCGGGTATCTAAACTCGGTGCTTACTGTTGAAATCACACGTTTTATTCTTGTGATTCGTTTTGACGATCCACTGGGTGAAAATACTGTGTGATCTCTTGTTGATTTATTTATTGTTGGTTGAAAGCTTTTGCACAACATGACTTTCTTGTCCGGGGCAGCGGTTCTGTTGCTGCGTGGACTCGTCATCTCTGCGGTATTGGGTTTAGAGAGTTCATACACGAGTCATTTGTCGAACCGAGTCACTCCGGATCCAGCAGCAGCTGTTGCTCCTACAGGTAAGACCTGATTCCTAACAAACAACAAATCTGATCAACCTGCGTTATTTTCTTGTTCTCTATCGAGGGGTGATTTAGTAACTCTAGATACCGTGATAATCGATTGTCAGTGCTGTTTTTGATGAGTGTTAATCCGGGAATGTTAATGTGTCATTTCGCGGCACCGTGGGTCCTGATTGATGGTGGGCAGGTCTTTCCCAGCCTCACATCACCTTCTGGATGATTCTAGAGAATCTCATGCTTTGCCTGTATGAGTGACTGCTTATGAAAGTGGTGAAGGTCAGGACAACATCCACACGGAATTCCTGCTGTTCCACCAATAAACGCTTGGCATGAGAGAGCAGGAGGAACCCCCTCCATACTGCACTGTCCTCAGGCAGCACCTCCATGAGGAGAAACCACCAGATGGGGGTTTCCATGGCCACTGGCTGATATAATGCCTTTGTAAATTGGTTAAATGAAACTGACACTCATTTTACACAATATTCACTGAAGAATTGAAAAGGTATACACAAATGTATTAACCATGCTCTCTATGGCAAGCTACAGTATTTTGACATTAATTCCTTTAAACAATTGATTTTTGTTACTAGTTTTTTTTCAGTGACTAATTAATAATCCTGTAGTTACTAGTATCTTTTAAAATTTTACTAGTAACATCCATTATTTTAGAACTTACTGTGGTGACTAGTGTCTATAAAGTCTATCAATAGTAGGCTACTTTTTAGTAATTAGTCACCATCCTAATAGTGACATAACCATTCCACTCTTAAGGCTAACAAATTGTTTTTATTTATTATATATCTTTTTTTAATGTTTGACTAGTAACTGCCTACTCATTAGGTACTAGTACATGCGTATTAGTTACTAGCTCAAGGCTTTCCATTCAAGCAACTTCTGTCTTTTTTTAATTTTTTGGTCAACTTCCAATATTTGTATTGGAAAATTATAGAATATTTCTATCTTGGAAAATTATTAGTTTGCATGATTATTTTAGGTATAAAAATATATTTGTCACAGATACCACCCATTCATTGGCTGATGACAATAAATTCTCAAATGTCCAAATATTGGCAGATTAATTGATGTGCCTGATATACTGTATGCCTATCACTATTGTAGAAGGCTGTTGTCATGTATAGGGCTGAGAATTTTGGGAATGTTGTCCCGGGCCTTGTGATGAGGGTTGCTCAATAAGATCTTCTATAGTGTAGCCTATTGTTTAGTTTTTGAGGTGGGTGCCCACCAGTGGTGGAAAGAGTACTGAAAAAATATACTCAAGTAAAAGTACCATTTACCTTCCAAAAAATGTAGTGTGAGTAGAGTAAAAGTACTTGTCCAAAAAAACTACTTGAGTAAGAGTAAAAGAGTAGCCTATTTAAAAGTACTCATGAGTACTGAGTAGTGAGTACTGAGATGTGGATTCTACCCCCTCATAATAAACGCTGTACACCGCAATTGATATATTTTAAAAACGTTGTACATTTTGTAATTCACATTATCTTGTTTGTCATAAAGAATGAAGAATATCTTTCATCCAGCAGTTTTAATTTTGACTGCCAACTCTTTAAAATACATAAAAACAGCACAGAAACAGTATTCAGTTGAAGAAAAGATGAAAGTTATTCTCAGTACAATCATCCACATTTAAATCATAAAGTTTGAAAAAAAAGATTTAAAATCATGTGTCAGGCCACTGAGACAGCATGCTGTTGTTGCACATAAAATATTAATGTTTAGAACAGTGCAAATACAAACACCATTAGAAACTCATAGTTCAGCATCACACACCATGATATGGGTTAAAATGAGAGCCCATTTCTCTCCAAAACGGTGCTTAAATTAAAATAAGCATGTAACGACCACAAACGGAGGAAAATAGGAGTAAAAGTACCAATACATCACTTAAAATGTACTCAAGTAAAAGTAAAAGTACACCATTTTTAAACTACTCAAAAAAGTACAATTACTGATAAAAACTACTTAATTACTGTAACGTGAGTATTTGTAATTCGTTACTTCACACCCCTGGTGCCCACCAACTTGCTTTGGGCCTCTTGAATTTGGAGATGACTGTATACTATATATGTTCAAATGGATGCATTTAATCCAAATAATGATAGCTTCTAGGACACTCCTGTAAATAGGGCTGTGCAAATAATCGAATGCGATTTTCACTGCGACACTGACAAGCTACACAAAATCGCGTTCATAATCAGCAATGAATCGCTTGCGATTATGAACGTGATTTTGCATAGTTTGTCAGTGAACTACGGCTCTGTGTATTAAATGCCGCTCCATCTGAAAGCACGTGCTGGAGATTTACTACTAATCACAGAACCGGCTTTACTGACGAGATGCGCATGAAAATCATTTGATTATTTGCACAGCCTTACCTGCAAATCAATGTTTTAAATATCAAACAAATAAACTGTATAGAATAAAAAATAAATTGTTTAAAAAAAAAAAAAAAGCTGAACCAAGGCCTGGGATTTGTACCATACTTGTAGTGCATAATGTATAAACAAACAGGACTGATTCAGTCAGTCAGCCTATTCTGGTTCATAACCCCAAAGCTGTTTTCCCAATATTAGTCATGCCTTTAATGACAGTGGATCGTTTCTGACGGGCAGCAGTCTGGTCAGAGCGCTTGTTGAGGACACCGTGTGAGATGACAGATTGCTGTCTGTACAGAACTACAAACTGCTCATATGATGAATGTAATCCAGATCTGCGGTCATACAGGAATGCAGACTTAATCGGAAGGGTAAATAACCTGCATGCAAATGGTAATTGACTCATCAGAAATTAAAGCCCTTGGACAAATTGTTTAAGCTGTTCTTGTAGTTTAGTGCCCACTAATGAACACTTGTTATGCATACTTGATTAAATACAGCAAGTGCACCACAGTTTTCAGCTGCAACAAACCCTTTGAATTAAGGAAACCCTTGATTAAATGTGTTGCACATTGGGGTTTTCTTAACTCCTATTTTCAGGGGGTTGTTGCATTTGCAGTGATTTGAGCATTTATATAGTGTCAACTAGTGGTCGACCGATATATTGCCAAGGCTGATATATCGGCCGATATTTGGCATTTTTTAAATATCGGCATCGGCCGATAAGTTTTCCTGTTTGGCCGATGCGTTCGAGGCGGGACTTATTTTGATGGCGCGACGGACTTTTATTTTGACGGCGCTGAGAACGGCAGCACCTGAGCACACAGTGCTCACACTCTCCCTCTCGTTCGCTGTTGTCCTTCAGTTCTGTCTAATATGGATTATCTAATATGTCTGTCTAATAATCAGATAGAACGGTTAAACACAGGAATTAAAATTTATACAAAAAGTATTATAACGATTGCTTTTATATTATTAGTAATAGAAAGGCAAACATTATAATACGTTCTTGTTTGCTGTCAGCATTCAGCAAATACGCATTTATATCATTTAAATAAATCGGATCCAGTTGTGAGATCTTGTGAAGTGTGCATTTGTATCCTGCACTGTGAAATGATATTATGTTGCTTATTGCAAGTTTCGTGACACTTTTAACTTGAAATGTTCAGTGAGTGGTGCTAAAAGCATGTTCATTTTTATTCGAAACAGATGAATGTGAATCTTGCAACATTTTGTTAAGTTGTTTGGCATGGTTCGGAAGTGAAATATCCGGTGAGCGGTGCTAAAAAGTTAATGTTGTATTGCGTTAAATACAATTTTAAAAATACAAATTTAATTTGCTTCTATGAGTTGTTTTATCGTGACTCATACCAAGTGTAATGCTCTACTAGGTGAGCTACAGAGAAAGTTTACTACATCAGAAAAGCCATGCATATGGAGCTGATTATGTGTATATTACACTGTAAAAAAAAAAATCTGACATTTACGGTAAAATAGATGTAAGATTAAACCCTAATGTACACAACTGATAACAAAAAACTAAGAAGAAACATGTTAATTCAACAAAAAAACATATGAAGTGTCATGCAGGGAATTCTGGGAGTGTCAATTTACAGTTTGTCACTAAATTATACAATGACTTTTTCTTTTTCACTTCCAAAAACCATATTTTTAACAGTATTTTACTGTAAAATTACATTAAATGTAATTACATTTATTCACCGAATATAGTATGGAAACTTACTGTTAACCAGTTAATAGGTTTTTACTGTAGCATTTTTACAGTATTTTACTGTTAAAATCACTAATTTTTTACTATTAGTTTACAAATCATTCGCAAAATTCCTAAAGTGGACTAGGCAAAACGCTACTAAAGAGTTTTGAGGTCATAACAGTATTGTACAAGGAAGTCTTAATAGTCTGTTCCTGAAATCGTAATTTATGAGAAAATGAGTAATAGTGGTTGGTGTTTTACTGTCACTAGTGTTAATTTTAGCTGGAAACTGCATTGAATTCTATGTATAGGCAAGTTTTTGGAGTTCTGTAAAAATTTAGATGCATTTTCCAATAAGTCTATGTTGGTCACTGATCATCATTACACGATGAGACCTTATTACAGCTAGGGCTGCACGATAAATCGAAATGGAATCGAGATCGCGATTCGACAGAAGCTGCGATTGTGATGCGTATCTTTTAGTGAATCTATTATTAAATGTGGTATTTTCACATGCTTTCAGATGGAGCAGCATTTACTTCACAGAGCCGTAGTTCACTGAGAAGCTATGCAAACAGCTGTCATTATCGCGAACGATTTCTTCGATTTCAGAATCGCGCAATAAAATCGTCTGCGATTTTTTTTTTTTTGCGTAACTTGTCAGTGAACTACGGCTATGTGTAGTAAATTCTGCTCCATCTGAAAGCACGTGATGATGATTTCCTGTTGATTACAGAACCGGCATTACTATCAAAATGCGCATGACAATGGCATTCGATTAATCGTGCAGCCCTAATTACAGCCTACTTTGGGAGCTGATTACTATCAGCCTCCAAATTAGTCTCTACACAGAAACACATGTTTATTTTAGGGCTGCCCCCTAATAGTCG